ATATATAAAAGGGCAGAAGTTTACCCTATATCTGAAGATACAAAGCTTCACGTTATATATATATATATATATATATACATATATATATATATACATATATATATAAAAGGGCAGAAGTTTACCCTATATCTGAAGATACAAAGCTTCACGTTTGGTTAGTGTTTAACTTCATGTATTTGCCATTAAATTTCGCTTTTTTCCTTTCACAACAGATTTTTGCACATATGTATTAAATTCCCTCCATACTTATTCCATGGACTTTCATTTTTCCTTTTCTGGTGTAGGGTTTTAAGCTTTCTTTGCCAATATTTTTTAGTGTCACAAAAAGTCGTTTGGTAACATTAGTATCATTAGTGTTTATTAGGAGTAGTATGTATTGATGCATGCCATTTATTCTAAGGCCATAAAGGAACAAAATATGCAAGGCCTACTGCTAGGGAGCCAAAGCCATTATTTCCTTAACCAACTTACAAGTTTGATCATATTGACAACATCTTTTGGCCTAAGAAAGTTTTTGTATAGGAATGTACTTCAAGATTATTGAGAGTATATTGGTATTGGACACTTCACTGTCTTGTATATATATATATATATATATATATATAATCTTGATCTATAGAGAGGTAGTGTGGCACCCTTTCTTACTCCAAGCAATGTATTTATCTTTTCTCTCTCTTCTTTGTAAACCGTTTACCCTTATTTTCTCTGTGTTTTCATAATTGGAGGATTAATCTTATTCTACCTTATTTATTGAGTTTTATTAATATTAATATCTAATTGTTAATTTCATCGGCCACAAAAAGCCGTTTGGTTTATTTGTTACTCAAAAGCATGTTTCAGTAATCTCATGTGATTATTCAAAATCTTATAAAAAATAACTCGGAATACACATGCAACGCACTTGTCTAGAAACTAGTAGGTTAAAAGTTAGGTGAAGTCCTATTCTCTAAATAAAAATTTATCTCCTAGAAGAGTGGGAATATTGATTGAGTTTGCTTCAACTGGTTCTAAAGAATTATTTTCTCTTTGAACTTTCTCTTCTTTAGACAGTAATTGACATTTTATTAATCTATATACATATACTTAGTAACTAGTTTCACAATTTAGCATATATATTTAACTTAAGAGATTTATGCGTGATTTATTTTTCAAATACTAGAAGAGAAAATTTAGAGTAAAATTTTTGGATTAACATCTAGTATCACCAAATAAAGATAAAATACAAAGTAATATCTAGTTATTACCTGATAAATTAAATTCAAATTGCATTTAATAGATGTAGGATTATTTTCTTACAAAATAAGATTAGATCAAATTTGATACTGGTTATAAAATTCCCAAAAACAAAAAAAGTTTCTTATCTTTCTTTCTCTGATTGCCTAGTACCTTTCCATTGTTCTGATTATCGATACTGCCTTTTCCATTTATTTTTCTGATTCTTAGGTTGCTGGCACTGTCTTCCTGACGTATGTGGTTGTTATTGTTCCATTGCCTCCTTTTCATCTCCTTGTGCCGAGGGTCTTTCGGAAACAGCCTCTCTACTCCTCGGGTAGGGGTAAGGTCCTGCGTACACACTACCCTCCCCAGATCCCACACGTGGGATAATACTGGGTTGTTGTTGTTGTTGTTGTTGTTGTTGTTGTTGTATCTTTCTTTCTTCGAAGTTTAATCCCTATATGCTATAGTATCCCTCTATGATCTTGAATCACATCCTTGGTCTTATCGTTACGTATGATACTGATAGTATCAACTAACTACAGTTGCTATCACCATCAAATTCCATGTAATCAGATTGCGTCTATGTTAAAGGTAGTGTAGGCTCACTAATCCTCTTGAAGCCTGGATCTGCCTCTGGGTATATGGAGCTCTTTAATGTAGTGGTGTAGTACACATCTCAATAACATCTTGCCAATCTCACAATAAAAATTTTTTTTTTTTTTGGATCAGTCCAATCTCACAATAATTCCTCTCCGGAAGAAAAATATAATACTAACAACAAACTCTAAAACAGTAGAAATAAAATAAATCAAATAACAAACTTGAAGTCACTGAAATGCCTTTAAACATGATGGGGAAATGAAGATCTCATTGTACCATGGAGTGAAAAGAGAAAGAGAAGTACATGGAGTATCTGGATACCTCTTTTCATGGATATAATCGTATGCCTTTGAATGCGCAATTGCTATCCAGTTCATGGCCTGATTGAAGACACCAGTAGGTAAAGCAGAAGTAGCAACCTCCAGCATATCAGGATTACCACCAGGCCAGGCACCAGCACAGTAAGTGAGCATACAAAAGACATGAGGCTCATTAAAAGTGACCCAATAGTCCACTATATCTGCAACAGAGTCAACAACAAGCCTGTAACAATGGAGCACATACCCATTAGTAACAGGAGAGTATCACTTGCAAGCCCATTACAACATGGACTGCATAATTATGCTGGTTGACGAAGTGTGTTACATGTGATTGTCCATAATTGCTACCAAATTGTACATCATATTTAGATAGTTGATTGGCAGACTAAGGATATAGGAGTAAAGAACAAGTATCAAGTACCTATAATTTAAGCTACATGATGGGGTAATT